ACTTATTCCCCAACCTAATATATTGTGTTAAACAATGGAACTTCGTGCTTAGAACATACTTAGGTCTATAAACGAAAGTTTCTTCATTAGAGACCCCAACAAGAAAAATTAAAACACGTTCTTTCGTGATTTCCATAAAAATTTACATCTTTTTCTACTTAAGGGGCCTTACCAGTGTGACCACCTAAAATTTAGGTCATTTTTGAGAATTTTCTTGGGGGGATTGAAGGGGGAAATATGAAAAACGAAAAAATGGTCCTATTTGTAAAACGCAAAATGACCTACGCCATAAAAATAAACTGCTTCTGAAATGTTTTTTACTGATATCTATTGTGCACTTCAAACCCTGCAACTCTTGTTCTAAACTCTTTTTGTCAGATGACTGCAAGTGGGTGAAAAATTAAGGAGAAATAGGAAAAATTAAGGTGAAAAGTTAAGGAGTAATACTCTGCATATGTAAAATGATGAAGTTTAGAACTGTTGTAAATATTTCTTTTCTGATATATCGCATTAACTAAATTGTATCTAAAAACTTGAAGCTATTCACGTGAGAGAGGCCTGTTGTATATTCTGCAACAACGTATTTCCCAACTGATGGCTACATCAACACAAACTCATCTTCTAACTGAAAATGCAAATGGCTATAACCAGTAAGCAAGGATTTTGAACAAAGCACCTTTTTTTGACAATAATTTTACATATAGATGTCAATCTTTACCCGAGGCTATTCAAATGAAACGCTGATACATGTCTATATGTATACATATCTTTTGGTTCAATATTAGAAAAGTTATTCCATTTTGAATTGTGTCCACTTAATATCCGACTGTTTGCATGATCGGGTGAGCAAGTTCAAATATGTTCGTCTAAAGTTCTATTTGCCTTTGTCTTATTTACTTCCATTATCGTTAAAAAAACGAAATGAACTTGCCGAGCAAGAAAATTACACAAAATGCAGATGTCGCATTGAGTGACATTTTCAGAGGAGATTCATAGTTCCTACTAATTCGACTTTCGACAAGATACCGTTCTCCAGAGTGAATCACAACAAATACATGGTGACTGACACAGCGGCGTACATAGGAACGAGCAACTGGTCCGGCGATTATTTTACGAACACCGCAGGCAATTCTCTCTCTCCATTTATGCTACATCTGTCGATATCTGGAACATATTATAACAAGTTTTTTATCTATTGCCAGGTATAGGCACGGTGATCGAAAGCGTGGGCGAGGAAACAGCGGAGAACCTACGACAGCAATTAGAGGACGTTTTCAACCGCGACTGGTACTCCAAATATTCATACGACCTAAACGGCGGTTCGTCGTTCCCAGAGCAATCTGCAAACGCCATCGAAGATGATTACTACGTACGTTCGTCACGTTACATATTAGCGTAAAAACGTGATTAACAGACGTCGGATAAAATGCAGATCATCGTCCGACAGGTCTGAGAGACCTAACATGTTCCAACGTCTCCTCATTTACAGACGTTAAATCTTCTTTCCTCTTCCTCATTTTTTTTTTTTCTTTTACTTTTGAGCAAACGCATTCACGCGATTGCCCGTGGTCAATAAACATCGACTCTGAATACTGTTTGTTCCGTTGCGCGTCACGTACGAACACAAACACAAACGCATTTCATCCTCTTCTTCTTCTTCTTTGGTTCCTTTCTTACTTCCTTCCTCTTCATTTATTCTTATGACCTCCTTTGCGCGTGCAAATACACGTCCACGTAGGTACATATTACATGCATATATACATATGCATATATACATATATATACACATACGTTATACCTGGAATCATGAAACTTGAGGGAATAGCCTTACGTAATGAACGTTCGTGTGCCTTACTTAAGTGCCCTTGCGAATAATTTTCTATGGACGAACATTATCTTGACGCCAGAGAGGAACCTGTCTCTCTCTCTAGATATGTTTTCATTTCTAAGACCCGGCAAAGGTCAATTAACGCGTTTGTAATAATATATACGATCGCCTCTTACCCCTGCGAGCGCGTCGCAAACAAAAAGAGTCACAAGAAAGCGGTGACACTCATTTTTTTATTGATATTGTAAATTGCTGATTCAATCGTACGGGTAAATGACGTATTTTAACATGCAAATCAGGCATCCCGGGGCAAAAAGTCTGCCGATCAAGACGTGATCGCGACACGTCCAAAGGGTACGTGCGCGTTTCTCCGACAAGTACAATAAATACAGGGTGTTTCATAATAAGTGTTAGAGTCGAGAAGAATTGATTCTGCGACTCTCGGATCAAACCGAGATCGGTATTGGGAAAACCTGCGGTGCAGAACGAACGAGTAAATATCGATTTGCCACTTTCGTATTAAACAAGGTTAAAACCTATGAATGTCAAGATTAAAACCTATGGAAAAAATGTTAGAACCTACAAAGAGAGTTTCTGAATAACAATTTCCTTTGGCAAAATGCAGAGTTAAGAATGGTTTTTGAATTATTAATGAAAAACGCTGACCAATGAGAGCGCGAGTATCACGATCCGAGCCAATGGCTGAGCGCCGGGCCTTACGCGTGCGCATTGGTCAGTGTTTTTCGTTAATGATTCAAAAACCGACCCTCACTCATTTTGTCACAGGAAGTCGTTATTGAGAAACAATTATAGAATCATCTCTCCTCGGCTGTAACACTTTTTCTGGAACAGCCTGTATAATACGCGAGCACGTGCATGATTCCACAGAGTAGAGTCCCGGGATTCTTGACTACAAGCTGTTTTTTTTTCACAGTTACATTTACATCATCATGACGAGTTATAGATACATGCTTGCGGAATCTTTTCCACGTCCACATGCATACATATATAGAATATTACATTGTATCGCGCGTCAATCAGGCTAATTTGTTTATCAAGTTACGTAACTTTGCTTCCGTTGTACAAACAATCAGTCCTCGGTGTCCGAATTCGCTCACTCACCTTCGAGACTAACTGCTTCCATTGAACTTACTTACATCATGTCTTTTCCAATCGCTCGTTCAGTCAAATATTTCTTTTTCTTCGAAGAATTAACACGAGGGTAAAAGTCGTTTTACCAAAAGACACAAATTGACCTAAGATTTTACATAAAATTTGACTTCCTCTCATCAATTACGTAAGTTGCTTATCTAAGCTGTTTTGTTTCTATAC